TGGATCTGCAGGTAAGTTTCCACTGTATTTATTCATCTTCTTTTTTAGCCGTCATAGAATGGGATTAATTCCTTATTTGATTTTAGTTCTCATAAAATCTCCAAATCTTCACTGGTCTGTAGGAAGTAGTCCCTATTCATGACAAGGATAGAGGAATGAAAATTTTAGTCTCTAAGTATCTGGATTCTTTTCCTTTCCCATACTATGTTGTGTTGAGGAACATAGAAGCACTTCCTAAGACCCTCGCAGATTTATTAAGACAGGTAATTTTACTCTCCAGACTTTTTAATCCCTTCTTTTCTGTTATATTTGTTTAGTCATCTAATTGACGCGTAATCGATCTTCCTTCCGCGGTTGCAGTGGTTTGAGCTCATGCAGAATTCAAGGGATTAAATTCTCTTGGCATCAAAGAAAAGTGACACACAATAAGGTTTCCCACACTCCTGCATCAAGATCCTGCTTTCTGAGTAAAAAATGGGATATAGATAAGTGTGAATAACAGGAAACTAGTGATTCTGCCTTCTGGGATATTGATAAGGGTACATTACAGGGAACTCCTCTAGTGAATAGGAGTTTTGTTCATACAATTTATTGGATTGTCATGTAAATTGGTCACAATTATACGTATAATAAATGATTGATTCGTTAACTCCTGTTTCGATGTGCTGTTGTGCACCATTTTACAGTCCTCGGAATAACATATCCATCTACTCTTAACACAATCAAGGAGTAGCAGCTCAAATATACGGTCTGTGAACTCATGAGGATTTGATTGGTTTCAAGTACACAGATTCTGAATTCGAGTAGTATAACATCAAATGTTAAGTTACGATTGATTTTTTTTTTTTTTTAATGAAGATGATTGAGTTTTCTTTTCTTATTGGGTGTTACCATAATAAAATACTCTTTTTTGTTTCATTTAGTTGTCTCAATATTTAAATTGGATAATTTAAGGAGTATCTTTTTTTTACTACACAATTTAAGGAGTTGTTTAAATTTTGTAATTAAGTGTTAAAATAATACATTTATTAATTTTACGAGTTAAATTTATTAGTATGTATTATCTTATAAATTAAGTTTAAAATTTAAGTTTTGAGCAGTTGTATTTAAAAAAATTAATTTTTTTAAATATGATAAACTAATATGAAATGTGTGCTTTTGAGATCTTTTAAGAAGGGATTAATCTTAAGATGTAAAAAAACTAGGCAAAACATACTCCGTAAATATTTTTTACTATCACTGGGATGGCTTCCCCCAAGTTTTGCAGCGGCCACTACACCCTCTCACTCATCGAGGCCTGGAAACTTCATTTCAAGGACCCATTTCTTCAAGTTCTAACCTCATTTATCTATCTAATTCATAGATAACACAGCATTTGGTTTTGATGCTTGGCTATGACGTACTCCCAAAAAAAACCAAAGAATTACTCTTGAGATGAGACTATATTAGTTCAAAAAAGCGAAACCAAAGAATTACTCTTGAGATGAGACTATATTAGTTCAAAAAAGCATCTCACTGTTAAAACCAAAGAAAACATCCCATACAGGGAAGTCCTTGTCTGCTGAATGATGAGATATTAAAGGCTCTGATAGCATTGAATGCACTGCACATGCGATGGAAAAAATTAATCTGAAGATGTATAAAATCTAGGCAAAACACGCTTTTTTTTTTTTTTTTTTTTTTTTGGGGTCAATGGCAAAACACACTTTAACTTTAAATATTTTTTACTATCACTGGGATGGCTGCCCGCAAGTCTTGCAGCGACCACTACACCCTCTCACTCATCGAGGCCTGGCCCTTGCCTCGACAAGTGGTTATAAGTCCTGCACCTCAGTCTCAGTGCCATCCATTTTTGGGTGAGTAATGATCAACGGGATGAAATTGACTAACGAAATTGGTGGATGATAAGTAGAGTACGGTGAAATTAGTAATTTTGTCTCACTCTGCTTCACTTGTTCGTCTTTTAATTTTATCTTCTTATCATGACTTTTTTTGGGTTAGTTTATCTATTAAATGATAATAATATATTTATTTTTAATAAATATTTTTTTTATCTTTTATTCCTCTAAACTTAATTTTTAATTTCATTTAAATTTAATTATTTTAAAAAAAATGTTATTTAATGTGTTTATTTTTATTTAAAAAAATATAATATATGTTAAATAAAAAGGTAGTGATTAATTAAATATAAATATAAAATTTTATAAATTAATTATTAAATCTCTATTTTTTTAAAAAAAATAGACCTACTATACTTTATCTTAGGGAGTATAATCTTCGTAAATAAATTAGACTAATAGGAATGAGTTTTCATTTTGTCACCTTTTAATAATTTATGTTGCGCAATTATTATATTTCGAACTATACAATATTTTTCTCAATTAGAATAAAACAAGATTAATAATGTTTAATTGATCATATAAAGAGAAAATGAAACAACTAAATTAAAATACTCAAATTTAATAAATACAATAACAAAATAGGAACTCAAAGAGAGTATAAAAGTGTTAAATAAAGTTTTAAAAGTATTATTTATTAAACTTTTTAAAAACTTGATCAAAACTCATTTTAAAAATTATTTTTAAATTTTTCTCTAAAAAATTTTTAAAATTTATAAAAAAAATAAATAATACTTTTAAAGCAAATACATTTTAAACTTTGCCAAACATCCATGCACTTATTAAGTCATATTGCATAGACTTTGTTTTAAAGACCCAACCAAATGATAATAATTCCACCAAGAGATTGCTGAAAAAAAAAATCTTTCTTAAATATTTAAATATTCTTAATAAATAATTTTTTTTAAATATTTCTTCAACATTTAAACTAAAAATATTTTTTTACATTTTTTATTCAACTGTACATATTATATAATTATTAACTTTTTCTACTCTATTAATATTTATGATATTAAATATAAATAAATGTTATATAAAAATAAAAGATAATTTTTTATAATCTTTTTGAACAAATTTTGCAT